TAGATACTTTATATGGGAGAAATTTACATGGTTGTAAGCTAATTATCAGCTGATCACACATGAAAAGCTGTACATTTCAATGTTTACAATACAACCACAATCTTTTACATCAATAGCATGATAGTGTATTCGGGGACAAATGTCTTGTAAACAATGGTCTAGGAACATAAGATAACCATGATAAAAATCAAAACATGACAATTGGACATACAACCTTTTATGGTGTTGTAAAAAGGACACATAAAGATATCTTCAGATCACATATGAACTATCTTCAGTGTTTACACCCTATTACCAGCTATCTGTACATGCTGTACAGCAAATGCAATAGGTAAGACAGATAATATTCTGCTGTACAGGATAGCAAAAGCAATTGTTTTGAACGGCAATCTCACTTTTTTTATCTATAACAGATCCTATTGTTTCTGTCATAGGGATTAGTGATAGCTGGTAATAGGGTGTGCAGTATATAAATTGGAAAAAGTATCTAATAAACTTAGTAAGTTTGAAAGCTACTCTTGGACCAAAGCCTCAATGCTATATATCAGTGAATAAGATTCAGATCTGTACTTGTGAATAAGAAGAGAAGAGAGGAATATATGAATGAGACACCAACCACACAACACAATAAAAACAAAGACATTTACAAGTCAACATACATACTGCAACTACAGACAAGTGTATATATACAATAATACACCCTATTTATTACAGACTATCAACGGCAGGTGTAATACGTAACCCAGATAAAAATCTGCTGAACACAATTGCAAAATTCATTGTATTGAAATGACAATCAGAAACAGTGATAAAATCTGCTGTACCACAATAGCAAAAACAATGGTTTTTAATGGCAATGAGTAACACAATACCTATTGTGTCTGCCATACTGATAGCCAGTAATAGGGTGCGAATATGTCTAGCTTTTAATTGTCCTGAGTGTAGAACAGTACTGAATAAATCTGACAGAGATTATCAAAAATCTGCCATCTACATTAGTCCCTATATGATAATTCAAGATATATAACGATAACTCAATAAACTGCTGACGAAGTTTCTGACTTGGAACAGACACATGAACATGTGGAAGGATTAAACTGCATGTAGTTGTTTTAAATCTAAACCCTCCCCCTTTTAATCCGGATTATTCTTTTTATTTTTTTCAGATTTGAAAAGAATCCATTGATTCAGGAATGTCCTTCATTTTATAGTACAACAGAAATACTATCCTGATTACTCAAATTATAATATCAAAAAGAATTAGGTTTTTAATGTGTCAATGAGAAATTATTGAGCCATAAAATCACCACATCTCAATTATCTAGACAAGATGATAATTGAATTGTTTTAGCAGTATATTGATCCCATCTTAAAATTAGCATTTCATCTTTGCCCTCAAAACTATCAATTTCATTTATTGATTTCTCATAGAATCTCAATTTGAACTGAAAACAAAAAATAAAGCATGAGCCTTACAGATATAATATCTAAAGTAGTAATTGCAATAAAAATCTTGGAGGGAGCTTTTATATAGGTTTGTCCTCAATGTCAACTCTATTGATTTTCCATGGCTTCTTTAAATGAAAATACCAGTAGGAAAATGAAACTCAGAATGACAAGTTGTGTATTGGGTGTTTGTACCCAGCAACATCGACATTGACAATGAAAGACGATTAAGCCAAATCTATACTTGCAACCACTTTCTGTTAAAACAAGGAAACAATTGACAATGCAAATTTTGTTATAAATACTGCATTACTGATAAAACTATGTAAAAGATATGATGTTTGACGTGGTTGATGCAGTGATGTATGCCATAGTCTCTGCAGGACGACTATAAATTTTGGTAATTGAATTATAACAGACTTTACTTATACAATATAATATTCCTGTAACACACAGTATGGAATAATGAATTTAAAGTCTTAAGTGTACCATTTTATCCACTGAGACAGAGAAAATATATATAAAACCAATATCTGGTGTCTGCAATTATTTTTTTTTTCAGACAGAATTTTTCATCATTACAATATATCCATTTGGAAGCATCTGACCCTTTATCATCCAGAGGTACATTGTATTATGTAATCCACAAAGAAACATTTAGAAATCTTTACCAGCAGAACATTCATGGTTTTGTTTAGCATACATTATTTTAATTGAAGACCCAGGGTGCCATTATGTTCTAATTATTCTAGTTATATTTTTTAAAGATGCATAATTTGGATTATCAAAAATATTTATTTATGTAGGTCAATAGCTTTTGTTTATAAGACAGATATTTACCATTAGTCTATGAATGATTATTATAAAATTGTTATATATAATATAAAGAGGGCTTGGTTGTATACATGTATATTCAAGAGTATAGGTTGTATATATGTATATTCAAAAGTATATTCTATTTCTAAGTGCAAGTCACATCATTCAAGAATTTCTTCTACTGCAATGTTTTCTATGACTAGATTCAAAACCCTCGATATTCTAAGGACTATTCATAACCTTGAGCATGCAAAATCTATATATGCATAGATATCTCTGTCAACTGCTTATCTCTATTTTTTCATTTTCTTAACTAAGACATTTCTTTTTCTAATTGATTTTTTCCGATATCTTTGTCAACTGCTAATCTCTATTTTTCATTTTCTCAACTAGAACACTTTTTTTATTGATTTTTCAGATCTAACAGTACCATTTTTGCAAATTAAAACGACCTGAATAAGATAGTTTAAACAGACAATAAAATAATTATTTGTATTTAAAATTTCAATGCTTTAAATTTAAGCTTGCCATTCAAGGCAGGATTATTTTCCTGTCCAAATGAAATTTTTCACAGGTTTCAAAATAAAACTATGAATGCCATTATATTCTGTTTAATTAATAGTCTCCAGAGCTGCATACAATGTATGAATCAGATTCTAATTATCCTGCCATATGTCCAGTAACTTCTTCATTAATAGGATACACTGATGGTCAGGGAGGAAATATCTGTTTTCACAACATCATCAACCACAATTTTCACTATAACACTAGATGGATTAAATGCAAACTTACTACAGAGCAAAGATTATCATTACCTACATGTAACAATGCAAAATCAAACACTGCTTATGGAGGGAAATAGGACTAGGACTACTTCTAGGGTTTTTTTTAACAACCTTGACTACCCACTAGGCCGAGGGTTTCGCACAGTCAGACTAGCAGGCAAATTTTTTGCCCAAAATAACTTAATAAATATATATATAATACATATGAGCAACATTACAAATCTGAAAAAATAAAAACATGGATTTGCATTTATAAGGAAGACAGGACACAGATATAAACTTTGCTTTCAAACCTCAAGAAAAATAAGTTTATCATTTTTAGCAACAACAATTTTTTTTTTTTTCATTTCCAGTTATTTTCCTGCAGTGTGTTCAAAATTAATTATGTGGTGAAATTTCAATAATAATATATATTAAATCTTAGAACTAGAAGTACATGCCACATCAATATCAGCATGCAACTAGCAGATTTCATATGAATGATGTAAGAGGAGTAGTTTGGGTTTGAGTTATTGATTGCTGTCTGCTTAACTTTCGGTGGCAAATATTTGATGCGTTTTCAGGACAATAGAATTGAAGTATCAGAATAGTTTAAGTGTTGAGCTTGAATTTGAACCATCAAACTAATTTCAAAACAACATTAATGGACATACATGTTCAGCTAAGGTGAACAATTTGAATCGTCATAACTTACAAGTCTAAGCCTGTTCAGACTGTTCATCCTTTCGAACTGTTTAGTTTAATTCATTAACTCAACATATTATACTTGAACTAGTGTTCTTTCCAGGGCCTTTTTAGTGTGATGCAGGTACAATCATCATGAATGTACAAATGTATATTGCTTAATCGTGATGTTATCTGATACGATTTTCTTATATAGATTGTGTTATGGATGTGATGTTATAATTCCTAGATAAGATATATGGTACATGTTTTTCAAAATTCCCTGTTTCTCAATGCTATATGTATATGAAATTTGTAGGAAACACTGACTTCCAAAGGTCATAATGATATATGCTGAGGTTAATATAATGTTTCATGAGGGATAATTAACCTGCCATCATGCTAATTAAAAGCTGTCAAAGACAATCATAATTGATTATATGACACATTTTTCTGTATGTTACACTTTGTGAGGTAAATATAACTTTTCACCATAGAATCTTGCTATTAACAGCAAATCAGAAAAGTGAGCAAGTAGAGTTGCACGCAAATGTAAATGGTACATGTATATATTCTAGTAATAAAATTTACTGAAAAAATCAGATAAGCCATTTAAGCATTTATATTCAATACTTTTCTAGATCAGAGTAAAACTTGAATTGACAGCCAACTGTCACAGTGTGGACAGGTACATGTAGAAAAAAAATTCCATCATGCATCTAAGACATACATGTACTTACTAATTTATGCAAGTTAATCTGTGTGAATTTCAAAGGGAAATTTTAAATTCAATAACCAATCTACTGACAAACAATATTTATTTGGTGAAAATTTTCCTGTAAAACAGCTATGTTTATTTGTAGCATATAGACAGAGATCACCACAGGCTATTTAAGGATGATACTCCTCCACCCTTGAATATTAAGCACCACACGTCACACTTGGATTTTCAGCTTGAGGCTTGGGATTAAATAGATATGTTTAGAAAATAATTCCAGCAATATAATTTTGAAAGACTATCATTAAATTGTTTTGTTTTTTTTGTTTGTTAAAAAATTAAGATATGTATACATTTAATATGTATAAATTAAGAGTATTGCAAAACGGTATATTCAGAAATATATTTTTAAGAATTTGAATAATTATTTTATAAGCTACACCCTAGAAAATTTGTCTGTGTTTATCACTGATAGATGTTGATTAATCAATGATAAGTCATGATCTCTTTGTCATTTTAGTTTCACTGGCAAGTTTTCAATTAGGTAAATATACAGTATATTATTTACTTACTGCCAAATACATGACACAGGATGCAGAGAAAGAAAACAAAATTTCTCTTCATTTTAGCTCTGATCTCATCATCTCACATTTTTACCTGTAATAAAATATAAATATTGCAAATGCAATGTCTGTATGTACAGGAATTAACCTTATAAAATTCAGAACAGAAAAAACAACATGTAGATAATAAATGAAAACAACACTTTATAAGTTTCATGTGAACGTGAACATAAATATGCAGTGTATTAAAAACTATAAGTCAAATTGAATATTTTTTTTCAGTCCAAGGACTGTAATTGGAAGTATTGATTGACAGAAAGTCAGGATACTCAAGCTGTATATATATTAGAAAATATTAATAAATGTTAATTTTGTTAACATTTTCTGGTAATGAGTTTCAGATAAGAAAGTTTTATTTAAGTTACTATATTACATTGTATGTCTATAACAAGGTGTTCAACATCAGCTGAAGCAGTGTTGATCTTTCAACAGATTTTTCAAAAGAGAGCTGACCTTAATATTTTTTTTGGAAATGTCAGAGAACATTATACATTGTATATCTTATACTAGACTGTAATTGATTCTTCATAGTTGGTAATACATGAACATAAAAATTGCCAGCATAAATTTTTTGTCCCCAGTTCCAAAAAAATATTCCATTTCAAATTGTTTAGAACCACATGTGGCGTGATCACTGTTTCATGTAAATTGAATTATATGCAAAAACTTCATTGCATTCCAACCTAATAAGACGACTTTTAAATTCATGCACTTTCCTATACAATTTCTAATGTCACAATGCTTATGTTATTACGTCACAGTAAGAACCAATTGTTCAATGACTAAATATTTACACTGATTGACCTCGGGTCAACAGAAGTAAATTATTCATAATAAACAACCAGACCTGCAAATTTTCCCTATTTAGGCATGAACTACACGATTTTGACCCCTTGTCCCGATTGAAAAATAGTAATCTTGACAAAAGCTATGAAACACAATTTTGTGAACGAGATATGTTTGAAGAAATTCACAGAAATTGTTGTATCAAACTTGTTCATCACTATAGTGAGACACCAAGTCCAAGTGTCCCTTTTAACTTAGCACCACCATAACCTGAACTAGTATCTTATGAACACTGTATAAGAGGTACCGGTCCATCAATAATTTATGGAGTCCCTGCTGCACCCTCCGTCCACTGGAGTTTGAACATGTCTCATATTTTGTGAAATACAGAACATGTAAAACGTATTTGTTCAGACTTGTGATTAAACTGTGTCACTCGTAGACAACGCAAAATTCGTGCTCGAGTCGAAGTACTTTTGTAGCACAATCATAAAAAATTAAAAGCTCAAAATAAGAGTGGCGGTACATTTTAGAACACCAGATCGTCTGTAAATGGACTTCTTCATATTCCGAATTATAACCCTTTAATAGATTTATGGTTAAATATATGCAGAGTGGTATTTTTTCGATGATTTCAATTATAAACTACTCACAATAAAAGTATCAAATTCCAATACATTTCTGACAGAAATTATTCGCCATTTTGACTAATCTTCAATCCATTTCCGGTTGTTGGTCATGTGACCTTCAAGTTGGTCCGCGGGAAAATTCGGTTTTATATGTTCTCAACTTCTACTTTCTTTTTGGCTAATTATTATATATTTAATTGATCCAACTTTTTGTGTACTATACATATGTGGATATCTATTTTTCTTTTTTTCTTTTTGGGCTGCTTGTTTGTTATCTATATCAACCACACTTGCAATAAAATGCATTAGTATTAAAAAAAAACAACATACTATAGATTCTTTATCTACGTATTCTTTAAGAACTTAAATAGTTCTCGTTTAACTTTTTTTTTTTTTTATCTCATTGTTTGTATTGTATTATGAAAAAATTATTGATGTTGTAATGTTTATGCCCTTTGGGGCCCATAATTGGAAATAAAAAATATCTTATCTTATCTTATCTTATCTGTTCTCAACTATATTTTGTTAAGCGGAGCGTAAATACAAGCGAATTCCAATTTATCACAGAATATACCCATTATACATAAACATTGACATTGATAACTTTATAAAGACAATTCAGCATACTTTTTAAAAATAAGGAGATGTGGCAATATAAGACAACTATCCCCCACAGTGCAAACGAAGTGGATGATCAATTATAGGAACGACCTTCAACAACGAGAAAGCCTATATCGTATAGTCGGCTATAAAAGTCCCTGTCGTGATAAATGTGAAACAATTCAAACGAGAAAATCAACGGCCTAATTTATAACAAAACAATTTACGAAAAACAAATATGACAGACATGAACCACTGAACGACAACCACTGAGCTACAGGCTCCAGACTTGGGACCGGCACATAAAGGTTGTGACAGTGGTGTAACAGTGGTGTAACAATACAACATTTAAACATATAAACATAAGCACTGCCGAGTTTTTCGTCGAAAATAAAAATTAATATAAAAATAGATATAAATAATGAATGAGGGTCTGGATGGGGTTTACAGAATAGATAATAATAGGCTCAATCATACAAGAAAAATGGACCCCAAAAAATAAAGAATAAAGAAAAATGGGACTTCTTCTTCTTCTTTATAGTTCAGCACTCCATCAACATACTGATGATAACGTCCCGGGCACTGATGTCGCTATGCCGCGCGTGCGTGGGATATATAATTTCTATATTTACAGTTAAATATATACAAATAAAAGTTCAAAGTAATTTTATTTTTCTTCTGTTTTGTACTATACATTTTGGTTAAAACTATATACAGTGTAATATTAATTTAAATGTGTAGGTGTTTGTTGAGAACAGATATTGCCAATGGGATCTGTTCACGGAAACAGTCTAGTGTAGTACATTTTACTGCAGCTACAGGTAGAAGGTTCCATTGCAATATTGTTCTAGGATAAAATGAGTACCTATATGAGTCTTTAGATGATTGTATTGGTCTGTAGGAATGATTGTGTGGATTTTGTCTTGTTCTTGTGTCAGATTGGATGAGCAAGTCTGTTGGATAAATAGCTACAAGATGGTGTATTATTTTATAGAAAACGATGATGCGTGTTCTTATTCGCCTTTTTTCTAGGGTTGTCCAGTTTAGAGTTTGTAGCATTTCATTGACGGAGCTGGTGATACGATATCTGTTGCAAGTGTACCTAGCCGGCTGCCCTGCGCTGGACCATTTCAAGTTGGTGTGTTTGAGATTTGGTATGAGGGTCCCAGACGCAGCTACTGTATTCAAGCTTAGGTCTGACCAGTGATGTATATATGCTCTTTCTTTTACTGTTTTGGAATTGACCTTTAGATTTCTCTTGACAAAGTTTAGCTTTTGTGTGGCTGAAGCTGTAATATTATTAATATGTTTGTTCCATTTTAAGTCTGTTTGTATTGTTACGCCAAGATATTTTGTGGATTTTTCTTTTTGCAGTATATGATGGTGGAGAGTGTAATCAAAATTTATTGGGGTTTTCTTTGTTGTTATCTGAAGGATTGAGCACTTGTCTGGATGGAATGACATGAGCCAGTCCTTCTCCCATTTTGCTGCTGATGTTAGATCTTCTTGCAGTTTTTGAGTGTCTTCTTTGTTTCTTATTGTTTTATAAATTATGCTGTTATCTGCAAATAATCGTAAGGTGCTGTGTTTCATATATTCATGGAAGTCATTTATGTACACAAGGAACAGGATAGGACCCAAAACTGTGCCTTGGGGAACGCCAGATGTTACATTTATTTTGTCAGACTGGACACCATCAATAATGACTGTTTGTGTACGGGATGTAAGGAAATCTTCTATCCATTTTAAGGTGTTGTATTCAATGCCATAATATTTTAGTTTAGAGAGAAGTCTTTTGTGAGGAACTTTGTCAAATGCTTTGGCAAAGTCTATCACAATTATGTCAGTTTGGATGTTATTGTCGTTGTTTTTTGCAAGTTCTTGTATGAATGATACCAACTGAGTTTCACATGATCTTGATGCTCGAAATCCATGTTGAAGGTCGTATAAGATGTTATTATTTTCTAGATGGTCCATCATACTACTGGCTATAATATGTTCCATGATTTTACAGAGTATGCAGGTGAGTGAAATAGGTCTGTAATTTATTGCGTTGTGTTTATCGCCTTTTTTGAATACAGGACAAACATTTGCGTGTTTCCAATCGTCTGGGATTTTTCCTGTGTCTAGTGATTTCTGAAATATGTATGTTATTGCGGTTGAGATGTCATTACTTAGCTCTTTTAGTACTTTTCCGCAGATTTGGTCTTGGCCAGTTGCTTTATTTGGGTTAATCTTGTTCAATAATTTTATGACACCGTTTTTTGAAATAGTGATGTTTTTCATATTTGGATATGATGATTCCCCCTTATCCGGTATGGGATCACTTGATGTTTCTTCGGAGAATACCTTTTGAAACTGACTGTTTAAGATGTTAGCTTTTTCTGATGTGATGTCTGTTAGTTTGCCATCTTTTCTTCTGCAGAGATACCTGTGTTGTCATTTTTCATGCTTTTAATGTATGTATACAAATTCTTTGGTTGTTTTAGTCTGATGTTGTTATCTGGTTCTTCTACTGGTAGGTCAAATATCATTTTTTCAATGTAGTTCCAGTAGGCATTACGCATTTCTCGTTGTAATGTTCTTTTTAGGTTTTTATATTTTTTCATTTGTTCTGGACCATTTTTGCTCTTTTTATGTAGTCTTTTAACTTTATTTATCATAGTTTTTAATTTGTTATCAACCCAGGGTAGTTTTTTCTTGTTTGTGATTGTCTTCTGGGAAATGTTTTTCTTGACTGATGTAAGTAGTCTGTCAGTGAATGTTTTCCAGAGGTCATTAGTGGATGAACTATGGTAATGACCTTTAATATCTTGTGTTAGTTTATTCACGTCTTCCTTGATGTTTTCCCAGTTAGCTTTTTTATACTGGTTTGTTTTTCGGGTTATTTTCTTATTTCGTCTCAAAGATAGTGCACATTCTGCATAGACGATATCGTGGTATGCATTTCCGATAGGGTGCATAGTTTCCACTTTGTTTACTATGCTTGGTATGTTTGTTAGTATGAGATCAAGTGTTCTGTCTCCCCTTGTAGGTTTTTTTACAATCTGCTCAAGTGAATGTTCGTTAATGATGTTTAGAAGTTGTTCATGAAGTTTGATATCTGGTTTGCTGGGAATGGTGCATGGGATATCCCAGTTTATGTGACCAAGGTCAAAGTCGCCACCAAGAATGATTGTTGATTTTGCATTTTGGTTGATACGATCTAGTGAGGTTTTCAGTTGTTCTATGGATGTGCCATTATCAGATGGGGGTCGATAGTAACTTCCAACAATTAACTTTCTGGCATTTGTTAATGTTGTTTTTCCGTTACACGATCCTCACGGTTCCTCTTCACCAGACTCATATATTATGTTTTGATCTCTGTATTATTTCTGTTGCTGCTTCCTGTTAATTCAGCTCGATAATCAGAATAATAGATTTCTTCGTATTCCCAGTGCTTATCCAGTCTATTCTTAAAAGCCTTTGTGAATGGAACTTGTATAACTTCATCTGGTAGCTTGATAGGTAGGACGAAAAAATGAAGACTAGAGAACAATGGGGTGCTAATACATGTATATAATGAATAGAGAATAATTGGCCAAAAATAAAAAGTATTATAGATAAAAATGAAACAAAAATTTAAGGATACAGAAATGAAGGACCCTCATGCATGTACATTTTGATGTATATAGAGCATGTTCATAGGCCCTATACAAGTGCTGTATCATATGACCACTCCGTATTGTCTGTATTAACAACTTAGGTTAACAGGTAAAGTTTTATATGGCAAGACAACTAAATTAAATGAAACTGAAAAATACATGTACGTTCCAAAAGGCACAGCTAGGTGGTAAGAACTGATACATGCAAGGCTGCAACATAGTCCAGGATTTATATCACACATGGAAAGCATACGAAGAATCTCTTGCATGTTGAACAGTGATAAATCATACCATTCCAGGACTGGAGAAGTGAGGAAGTGAGAATGTGAGGAAAACTATTCAGTCCTGAAATGGTCTGAGAGGCTGTTCCATGTCCCATAAAGTAGATGCTGGAAAAGAAAATGATTTGTTGCCATAACACAAAGCCATGACCTGAGGCCTAACCCAAGGTATTGATGTACCTGAAAGAATATTGGGTATTTTTAAGTGACCTAGACCAGAAAGACAGACATATATACGTAATAGCAATGCATGGGTAAAAATTGAAATTAATGAAAATAAAAGAATGGAATATGGTTAATTAGTTAATTTTATTCAAATACGAACATAAACGTTTGAGAACATTCAGCTGCTGTGATGCATTCTTACATGAGGGTCGTAATGGGGTACCTTCAAGACGAATAACGGTAAAAATCCTTGCCAAATGATATTACATGGTTTTGCCATGTGTTCATCAAAATCTAATTGCCAGTAATTGTCAATATTATACCTATAGCAGTTATTCAGTGGAGTCATATTTCAGAGTTACAATTTGAATTTTGAAAGAAGGATTCTTGTAAA